TTACTGCTAAAACTTGCAGTCCTATGTTGAATAGGACTAGTGAGAGTAGATATTCTTGCCTTGACCCTGATCTTATAAGCAAAACATTTGAATTTGGTCTTTTACCAAGTATGATGGTAGCTTTAGATTTTTCTGTAGATATCTTTTATGAGGTTGAGGAATATCACTTCTTTTCTTAGTTTTTTGACATTTAAAACAAATGAATGTTGTATTTAGTCAAATACTTTCTCTGCATCTGTTTATATAATCATGTGGTTTTTCTTCTTTAGACTATTTACATTGATGAGGTTTTCAAATATTGAACCAGCACTGAATTTCTGGGATAAACCCCAACTAGTCATGTGTATTATTCTTTTTATATATATTGCTTGATTCATTTTCAGAGTTTTATGTTCATGAGGAATATTGGTCTATAATTTCTTTTTATTATTATTAGTTTCAGGTATACAGAACAATGCAATAGTTATCTTTTTCACCCTCACAAAGTAACAACCCCCCTCCCCCATCTACTGCCCTCTCACCCCCGATATCATGCTTATCTATTACAATTCCATTGATTCCATTCCCACTCTCTACTCCATGTCCTGTGACTATATGTATATATAATTATAGTTGACATACATTATTATTCAACATCAGCTTCAGAAATACAGTGCGGTGGTCAGGCCTCTACACCGACATGAAGTGGTCTCCCTAACAAGACATGAGTCTATCTGGCCCCCAAAACAATATTTACAACATTATTATTTTCCCCAGATTGTCTTTTCTATCCCTGAGGCCATATTGTAGTTACCAATTTGTATTGTCTCATGCCTTCCCCTTCTCCTTCATCCCCACCCGCTCCCAACTAGCAACCCTCAGTTTTTCCCCTGTGTCTCTGAGACTATTTCTGTTTACATTTCTCATTTATTCAGTTTTTTAGAATCCACGTATAAGTGAGATCATATGGTATTTGTCTTTCTCTGACTGACGTATTTCACTTAGCATAATGTTCTCTAGTTCCATCCATATCATTGCAAATGGTACGATTTCCTTCTTCTCTATAGCTGAGTAATACTCCATTGTGTAAATGTACCAAAGTTTCTTAATCCAGTCATCTACTGATGGGCATTTCGGTTGTTTCCAAGTCTTGGCTATTGTGAATAGCGCTGCAATAATTTCTTTTATCCCCCTCCCTTCTCCCTCAGCCTCTTTTTTCCCCCTCCCCCTCCCCCTCCTCCTCTCTCTCTTTCTCTCTATCTCACTGTATTTGTTAGGTTCTGGTATTAAGATAATTCTAGTCTTGGGCCGGCCGAGTGGCGCGATGGTTAAGAGCTGGCTTGGGACGCCAGAGGGCCCCGGTTTGGATCCCACATATGAGGGCCAGTGACACTGCCATCCACAGCTAAGATGCTGAACAACAACTCAACCTGGAGGTGGACTGCCGTGAGTTGCCAGCAACAGCGATGGAGTAGGCTGCAGCCCCTGTGGCAGTGGGTTGCTATGGGCTACCATATGTAGCCAGTAGCCAGCGTGAGCGGCCAGCTGCCACCGTGAGCAGCCGTCCAGAAGCTGGCGACTGATCTGCCTCGCCCGGGAAGAGCGCAATGATGGTGCCAACTTGGGCCAGTGAAGCAACGTCCTCCACAACTAGACTGAAGAACAAAAGGGCAGCAACTTGTCTGTTCCCCTTCCCCCAATTCCCCAGCCCTGTTCCCATCCCCCAATTCCCCAAAAAAAATCTTTAAAAAGAAAAAGATAATTCTAGTCTCATAAAATGAATTAGGAAGAGTTCTTTCCTCTATTAGTTCTGGGAGAGATTGGAAGACATTATGTATAACTGATGATATTTTTTCATTAAATGTTTGAGAGACTTTTCCAGTGGTCTGGACCAGCAGATATTTTCCCTAGAGATTTTTTTTTGTGGGGGCGGGAAGAATTTCTTAAATAGTTATTGGACTATCAGGGTATCCATATATCTATTTCATGTTGGGTGAGTTTTGTGTTCTTGGCTTTTGAGGAATTGCTTCATTTCATTTTTGTTTATGTACATAATTTATGTGCATAAGTAGTATTCTCTTAATATCCTGTTAATGTATGCAGGGTCTGTAAGTTTTATTACTGATCATGCTAATTTGTGCCTTTTTTTTGTAGTCAGTTTTGCTTCATGTTTATTAATTTTACTGACTTTTCAAAGATCCAGGTTTCACTGTTCTTCTGTATTGATTTTTTGTTTTCAATTTCATGACTTCTTTACTCCTTCTTTCTTTCCTGCTTGATTTATGCTTTTTGTTTTTTACTGCCTTCCTAAGGTTTAACCTTAGATGATTAACTTTAGACTTTTTTTCTTTTCTAATACAAACATTTAATGATGTAAACTTACCTCTTGTCATTGGTTGAGCTGTAAATTTTCATGTTTTATTTTCATTTATTTAAAAATCATTTCTAATATCTGTTGAGACTTTCACTTTGACCCATGGACTATTGAGAATTATGTTGTTTACTATCCAGTGTTCGAAGATTTGCCTGACATATTTGTCAGAATCTTGTTTAATTCCATCATGGAGAGAGAACATTCTTGTATGTCAATTATTTTAAATATAAGGATGCTGTTTTGACCCAGGATATGGTCTACCTTGATGAATGTTCCATGTGCACTTGAAAAGAAAGGCTATTCTGCCGTTTTGGGTTGGACTGCTCTATAAATGTCAATTAGATCCAGTTGCTTGATTGTTTTTTTTCTTTTGATTTAGTTTGTTGTTCCTATTAGCCTCTTGAATTTATAGATTTATGTTTTTTTGCCAAATTTGGGATGTTTTCAGTCATTTTTTTTCAAATGTTTGTGCAACACCCTACTCTTTCTCTTGTCCTTTTGAGACTCTGATGATATGTATATTAAAACTTTGGTTGTCTGGTAGGCTCCTGAGGTTTCGTTCATGTTTTCCCTTTATTGTTTAGACTGGATAATTTCTGTTGCTCTATCTTCATGCTCACTGGTTTTCTTTCCATTGTCTCTTCTCCATTCTGCAATTGATTTCATCCAGTGAAATTTTAATTATGGTTATTGTATACTTTGGTTTTAAAATTTCCATTTGTTTCTTTTTTATACCTTCCATTTCTTTCATGATACTATATTTTAACATTTGTTTCAAGAATGTTCACTATTGTTCATTGAAGCACTTTTGTAATAGCTGTTCTGAAGTCTTTGACATATAATCTCAATATCCATTTCATCTTATTGTTGGCATCTGTTATTTTCCGTGGAAGCTGATATTTACATGGTTCTTTGCTTAGCAAGTAGTTTTGGCAATGGTGTTGAAAGAATATGTTTCAAGACATATAGTAGTCAACGATTCTATAAATATTTGTGTCATGAGGAAAAAAAACAAATAGCCAGTCTGTCTTTTTGATGATTAACTAAAAATCCCTTTTTGGAAGACTGTGGTTTAACAACTGAAACTAAAACAATATGGTATTACATATTAGGTCTCTTAATAATAAAATATGTATCATTAATTGTAGTATTGGAAAAGACTGAATTCTCAAGACTAGCTACCTGAGACTTCTGTTTTCGTTTTAGTTTATGCCATGTTTCCTATGTGCAGGATAATTTGAAATCAGTAGTTAATATCATATAATTTGTTATCATTATCAAGTATAGTTATTTTATCTTCTGTTGGCATAGTTACTTATCTTTAGCATGGCACACATACTTAAGTAAAAGCAAAGATGAAATTCTCCCACTTTCAAAGGAGAAAGATATTAATAAAAATTTCTTCTCCTCACATATGAGAACTACCAATTCTTCCCTTGTAAAGGGTGATTAGGAGTAGGAAGAGGGCATAGGGCATGAGTGGCTTCCCTATTAGTCTTGCTAACTCACTTAAAACTTCCCCTGCATCTGTGTAGTTGGAAATTGATACACAAACAGAATACGCTTTGTGTGACCATAAGACATCCAAAATTTTTGCTAGGATGATGGTAACAATTCTTTAAGGGAAGCAAAGTCTTTTACCTGCCCAATTGAAAATAAAAAGATACTAAAAACAAGCAAACAAGCAAAAAGAAAAGAAGAGAAAGGAAAGAAAGAAAAGAAAAAAAAGGAAGGAAGGCAGGAAGGAAAGGAAGGGGGAGGGGAGAGGGAGGTAGGAAAGGAGGGAGGAAGAAAGAAAGAAGTTGTCTTCTGACACAAGTCTTTCAGTTGACACACAGACACCTTTACATTTATTATGCTCATCTCCTTTTGGTTATACGGTCTGACATCCACATTCTAGTTCTGCCATTTCTCAGCTCTACAACCTTGTTCTTTGGATTGTTGCTCAGCTCTGAGACAGTGGTTATAAATCCTTCCCTGCAGGAGGAATTGCTCTGAGGTTCAATAATGTATGTTAAAGATTAGAACCAAACACAGCACCTAGAATATGGAGTTGGCAATAAATGATAATTTCCTTCTTTTCTTCCTTCTAAGAAGCAATTCTATTTATTCTCAAACAAAATGTATCACTTTTAAAATTGCTCCAAGGAAGAATTTCCAAATTTTCTGTAGTAACTGATTTCATGTTATAACAATAAGAAAAAAAAACGCCACAAATCTAAGTGTATGTGAGTAATGTCTACTTAATAAGATTTTGAGATTTACCCAAGTACTTCTTCTTATCAGTCATTCTGAGATATGCCAGTAATAGATGTAGGTAAGATGCAATGAAAACAGCTCAAATAATGAAGAAATACCTAAATAATTATGAACAACTGGACAATTTTGGGATGGATGTCACTGATAAGATTTTACAATGAAATTAACACATCTTTGGCAAATTAAGAAGAATGTTATCATTGCTAAGTATTATTTGAAGTTTTACAACTTAACAAAGATATGAACTACATTTTTGCTATGCCCAGAAAAAAACATAATTTTCATTGAAGGAATTACAATAAAATTAGGAACTTTTGCTTAACAACATAATTTAGATGGTGGACTAAATTTTCTTTTCTTTAAAAATAGAGAAAAATAATGTACTTACCTTTAAGATTATGAAGTAACATATCTAGTAAAGTCATAAATTGTGAATACTGAATAATAGAAAAATCCATTCCTCTAGCCCACAAAAATCCAGATACATAATAATCTAGTAGGATGGCTTCTTTTAAACAGGTTTTAATATTTTTGAAATTCAAAAACATTTCCAGTTTTCTGTAACAAAAAGAAAAATCCAGGTATTAAAATCAAATTAAATATTGAACAGTTCCTTAGCTAAGTTTTGAAAACATAAATAATTTTCTTGAATGAAAGTTCTACAATAATCACAATCTAAAAATACAGTTATATCTAAATCCTAAGTTCAAAATGACACTGAAGAGAGAGAGAGAGAGAGAGAGAGAGAGAGAGAGAGAGAGAGAGAGAGAGTCTATTACCCACCTGACACTGTACATAGTTAGAATATTATTGACTATACTCCCTATGCTGTAGTATATATCCCCCTGACTATTTTTAATTATAGTTGACATTCAATATTATTTTATATTAGTTTCAGGAGAACAGCATAGTGGTTAGACATTTATATAATTTATGAAGTGATCCCCCGATAAGTCCAGTACCCAATTGGACACTATACATAGTTTTTACAATATTATTGACTATATTCCCCATACTGTATTTCACATCCCCATGACTATTTTGTGACTAACAACTTGTACTTCTTAATCCCTTCACTTTTCTCATCCAGCCCTCCCATCTAGTAACCATCTAGTAATGGTCAGTTCTTGTATCCATGAGTCTGTTTCTGTTCTGTTTGTTCATTTATTCTGTTCTTAAGATTTCACATACAAGTGAGATTATATGGTATTTGTCTTTCTCAGTCTGACTTACTTCATTTAGCATAATACCCTCTAGGTCCTTCCATGTTGTTGCAAATAGTGAGATTTCATTCTTTTTTATGGCCGAGTAATATTCCATTATATATACATACCACAATTTCTTTATCCAATCATCTACTGATGGGCATTTCCACTGTTTCCATATATTGACTACTGTAAATAGCACTGAGGTAAACATAGGGGTGCATATATCTTTTCAAATTAATGTTTTGGATTTCTTTGAATAAATACTTAAGAGTGGAATTGCTGGGTCATAAGGTACTTCTATTTTTAAACTTTTGAGGAACCTCCATACTGTTTTCCATATAGAGGCTGCACTAATTTGCAATCCCACCAACAGTGCACAAGGGTTCCCTTTTCTCCACATCCTCGCCAACATTTGTTGATTTATTTATGATGGTCATTCTGACAGGTGTGAGGTGATAACTCATTGTGGTTTTTATTTGCATTTCTCTGATGATCAATGACATTGAGCATCTTTTCATGTCTATTGAACATCTGTATGTCCTCTTTGGAGAAAGTCTATTCAGGTCCTCTGCCCATTTGTTAATTAAATTGTTTTTTTGGTGTTGAGCTGTACGAGTTTTTTTATAAATTTTGGATATTAACCCCTTATCAGATGTGTCACTGGCGAATAGCTTCTCCCATTCAGAAAACTGGTAGCATTTTAATGAAATCAATAAATAGGCCCTGAAACAGATGGAAGCCCAGAAAGAGACCCAATACATATGAGAAGTTGGTATATGCCAGAATGTGTTTCATATCAGAGAGGAAAGTATGAACTCTTCCAAAACAGTGTTGGGAGAATTGGCTATCCACATAGAAAATAAAATGCTACCTCACCCAATGCATTAAAGTAAAATCCAGGTGGATTAACTAAAGCAACAATCCAAATTAGTATTTTATTCTGGAATCACATTCTTTTGACTTCCTAAATTTGGCTACTTGTCACTCCACTAATTTCTGCTGCCTGTTGCTAAGGAACAGTCTGAGGCCTGCTTGATTATTTCCCTCTCTAGGTCACTTTCTTTATCCCAGAGATAAGGTAATGCATAATGTTTTAGTCTATGAAAATATTAAAATCAAAGCTTTTTATTTTATGACGCTTAAATTTTTTTCTGATTCACTGTATTGGATGCATATTGAAATATCTTCCAACTGCTTTAAACTGTAGTTTGTATAAGTTTTCTTAAATTTGTTTTCCACATTACTGGCCTCATTCTCAGCAAGATGAGTTTTACATTGGTTTTATTCTTTAGTCTCTTGTATTTGTTCTAAAAGCTTATTATTTATATATTTTATCATCTTTTCTTTAACCCCTTGTTTTACAGAATCAATGTCCTCTTTAATCATCAGCTTTTGCCTAACATTTTCTTCTGTTTCCAGCAGCTAGTCTTCCTTCTAAGTATACTCTTCTTGTGCCACCTCCATGCTATGGTTTTAAAAACTTAAATATTTTACCTCAATAGTTATGTATTCCTTACTATTTTCATTTTTCTCAGTGTTTCATTGTATGTGAATGAAGACAATTATTTGCCAAAGAATAATTTGGTGAAATTTCTTTGACATCCTCTCCACTTTTACTCTTTCCCACACCTCCTCTACCTCTTCCCCTAGTGCCATTTGAATCTTAACCTTCAACTTGAACTGCAGAGCGAAATATTTATCATTTGTATTCTTTGTTCAGTCATTTTACCCCTATGGAGATTATGCAGGGAGTCATTTGGAGCACGATGTTGCTGCACTTAGAATGTAGTTTCCATGGCCTCCTGGCAAATTTGTAAGCTTTTCCTCTGGGGATAAAGGGGAGGTGGAACAGGGGATGGGGAGAAATGGCCACAGCTGTAGCATGAGAATATCTAGGGAAAGAGAAAGATACTTAATAGTCACTTAGGAAGTTTTGCTACAGTGATAGGTGATGTAACTTTCTACCAAGAATTTCAGTAAAACTATTACCTTATTCTTGCATGCTCTTAAAATGGGAGTGCACTTTATTTTTCAAATATGATGACATGCAGAAATAAGCCCTAAGGCAAGAATAGAACAGCTCATGGCGGCCTAGTTATAGAAAGGTTATTAAAAGATCTCTTAGTGTTATTTCTGTGTTTAAATAGTTATTTTCAATTTAGTCCCTATCCCTTTTTCAAAAAAAGATTTGGGTGGATCTGTAAATCAAATCGGGTGTTACATTAAAACATGATTGATGGTAGTTAGGAGACCATAAGAAATGTGCTCAGACATTGAACATTACTTGAAGTGTGCTGCACGAACATGTTTTAATGATACTTTGTTTTATTTCATTGGCTGCTTTAAGGAGCACAATTTTTAATTTTAAAAGGTAGGAAAATGTGCTGATTTCCTATAATTTATTTAAATAGGTTTATAGCTTTGTAGACTATGATTTTTGGCACACTTCTGTCAGTTAGTGACAGGACACCTAAATTATATTTCTCTTATGTTGAGAGGTATATAATCTCATTTATAATAATGTTATTTTAAATGGAAAGTGAATGACTGATTGCAAATATTTCAGGATTACTGTTATAAAAAACCTCAAGAAAATTACTTTCCAAAGAAATGGCTCCTGACATAATACTGTTGTCTTTTATCCAAAATTGATGTCCTGAAATTTCAGACTACTTCAGGTGAATTCTATTAATGAGACATCTAAAGGTCCACCTATGTTGAACCTGGCTGTTTCTATACAGCTAACTTCTGGATCACCTTCTGTACCATTTCCTTTGTCCCAGACCTCACCTCTTAAAGATTAAAAATACTTTTACAATTCAAGTATTTAACAACAGAAAGAACCAATAATTGAAAAAAAAAAAAAAGATTGTCACAGAAAGCATGATACACAGTACAACTTAAAATTTGGTAAGAAATAAGTCTAAAAACGCATTTGTTTGCAATACCGTCTATTTAATATTAATTGCATTTATTATAACAACTTTTATTTAATGTGTGAAAAAATAAATTGTAAACTATATTAAATATCTGTCATTTGTATCATATCATTTAGCCTAGTATTAAACACGTATTTTTTGCATTTCAGTGACCAACAACCTTTGGGATTACCTAGTAATGGAAAATAATATTTTTCTAAAGCATAAATAATCAGTGACACTAATAAAATGAATGCATTTTACTAATCAATTCTGATGCTAAAAATCAGAAATTCCAATAAGCGTTCATTTCTACAAAAATGGTAAAATCACCATGAAATACTTGTTTAAAAATCAGTGAAATATTTTATTGACTGCTTAATACTTAAAAATGCAGACAGCAGCATGGCCAAATCACAAACCACCAGGATTTCTAGCAGTATTGCAGGCACTGGAGGTGAACAGCATGTTGGGAAAAGGCCTGTCAGTGTTGCCTGCTCTTAATATGCCTTCCCTTCTCAGATTTCTCTTCCAGCCAGTACATCTGTCATAGTTCCTTCTCAGTAGTAAATCGCCTCTATTCCATAATAGCTGTGAGATTTGCAAGTGATATCCACTGACAGGGTCATTTTCTATTTGTCCATTACGGTCCACAACACGCTGCTAATATCTGGAGGACTGGCCTGCGGAAATCTTACACTAGGAACTAAGGTCCAGAACATCACATCATCCCCTCTCCACACATTATGGCCAATCAGGCTTCCATTATTAGAGTGAGATGATTTTTAAAATGAGTGATTGCTAGAAATACCTTTTAGGAATTTGTGTGTTGAATATATCTGATTAGAGTTCTAAGTAAATGATCTACTACAGAAACCAATGGTCTTAAGAATGAGATGTATTAGTTATTGCCCATAAATTCAGTTATACTCATATTTTTAAGCAAAATGCATGAATCAGAGTACTTAGGATAGCTTCTTACCCAATAAAAATCATAGGTGGATGGCTAATATTCAGTATTTCCCAAATAATAAAATGCATTCATTATTAATATTACAGAAAATACAACTTACTCTTTTCATGGTGACACAGAAGACCTAAAGGTTCTTGTGCATGCAGCTTTATGAGTGAAAGAAAAAAGGAAAAGACAGCATATGCTAAAGGCTGCTTTTAACAATAAATTCCTACTCTCTGTTAATATTAACAAATTAACAAGTTGGTTTGAAATGTATTCTTCCCATAAAGAAACCGCTGAGAGGTGCAACAAGGCAGCTGTTTGAGAATTTTTGTTTTCTAAAGTCTGGAGACACAAATAGATATTTATATCTATTTGTATATACATATATATATATATATATATATAAAATAACAAATATTATATTTGGTATTTCTAGATATATATACACATACACACACATATATAACACAATAACAAATATCACGGTCATTTATAGATGCAGAACTAAAACTGTTCTATATTTGGTTATAATAGTGAAGGACTTACTGTTGAACTCCATCTACGTCCTCTGCTAGCATTTCAGTGATTTGAGCAACTGAAAGAAAATCTGGAGACAGGATCTTTTCATGTTCTTGGAATTCAGCATCTCTCTACCAAAGGAAAAGAAAAGTGGAATGAGTTATTTCAATCACATCTTTTACATATTAATCCCAATGATATAAAAATTTGTTCTTACTGTAATTTAGTTGCTTTCAGGAAAAAAAATTAAAAACAACAGTCTCCTAGAGAATCATTGTTCTGATTTTAAGTAATGCTACCTCTCTTCTGAAAAGTCCAATGGCTAGTCAATCTGTCTTTTGTGCACATTTAAAACTGGGTAATGGTTTTCAATTAACAAATATTTTTTAATATCTACATATTCCTTATTGAATTTGGGGCTCAAGAGGAGGCAAAGACAAGTAAGAAAGATGTGATAGCCTCAGGAATCTTAACTTCTAGTGGGAGGAAAAAACCAAGGGTAACTTTAAAACAAGAAAATACAATGGTGAGTCATAAAAAACATGTGGCATTCAGTCGAAAAAGAAGTGACAAAGGCATAGCCAGGGCAAGGAAAGTCTATAGAGATGAGGTCCAGGAATGGACTCTGTGAGTTTGGGCATGGATAATGCCCCAGGTTAATGAAGACAGGGCAGTTGGGTACCAGTTCTGTAAATATTAATATAAAGTAGTTCACAGTGGTGCCTAGGGTACAAGGCGGGGACTAGCTGGACCTAAGTGGGAAGTCGGCAATGGGAACTTATTGTGGGAGATCTTAAATTTAATAATTCAATAAATATTTACTGAGTGATTGCAAGATGCAAGATACTATGCAAGTTATCATAAATATTTTAGGTCCTGGCTGGTTGAAGAAAGAGAGGCTGAAGAGTTTGTTCTTGGTGATACGGGCAACAAAGAACCTGAAGTAAGAGTAATTTGTAGCTGGGCGAAGGAAAGACAGGAGCCGAGAAAGGACGCAGACGGAGAGTTAAATGGAACAGTCATTACTGTGATAACTATGTATGCTGTGCTGTCAGATGGGTACTAGATTTATTGGGGTCATCACTTTATAAGTTATAGAAATGTCTAACCACTATGTTGTACAGCTGAAAGTAAAAATATTGAAAAATAAAAAAATTATCAGAAATAAAAAATGAAAAACAGTTCAAGAATGAGGCATTGGGCTGCAATGGAAAAGAAAAGAAAGGGGTCAATGTGACATATTACATATGGGGGACCAAAAGAGGGAAAAATTAATGGAGATTCTGAGTTTCTGAACTCGGTGACTGGAAGGAAAAGGCGGTGATACTGAGGGCCTCCAATAGCACATGTGCCTCCTTTGTGGGAACTAGACAAACGCATCCTCTCTGGGTGCAGAAGTGCTAAAAGTCTTAAGGCTGACATGGCCCTGTGCCCAAGTGCACCACTTGTGAATATATTTTCAGCTCTTGCTCAACCCTCAGCCCAGTTCTTCTGTTCAGCGTATAATCTGCAAAACCATACGTGGCGCTCTCGCTCCACAAAATAGAAATAGGAGCTTTGGAAGGTGATACTAGTTTTAAGAAGGCAAGATGGCAACTTTAGTTTCAGTGGTTGACTTCAAGATGGACTATGCCTATCAAGGAAGAAATGTTTAGAGGTTAATTAGAAATGTTAGAGTGGGCCGATCGAGTGGTGCGATGGTTAAGAACTGGCTTGGGACGCCAGAGGGCCCCGGTTGGGATCCCACATATGAGGGCCAGTGACACTGCCCTCTTCAGCTAAGATGCTGAACAACAGCTCAACCTGGAGCTGGGCTGCCGTGAGTTGCTGGTGAAGGTGTAGGCTGCAGCCCCTGTGGCAGTGGGTATTGGGGGGATGGGAACAGTGCTGGGGAATTGGGGGAAGGGGAACAGACAAGTTGCTGTTGTTTTGTTCTTCAGTCTAGTTGTGGAGGACGTTG